CCTCCCCTCATTCACCTGGCTGGCGCCCGCCCCCATCGGCTGGAACCCAACCAGGTGCCTCCGGGGGGGCGTGGCCAGCATCCTAAATGCTGCGGCGCCAGCCCTCTTCGGCCTCAGTCTTCTTCGTCCCTTCGCGAGTCAAGATCATTGGAAACAGGGAAGTATTTTCTCTTCTACTATTTTGGTTTATGTTCGGGGGGGGGTAGGTTTTAGTGTGTGCCTACCTGCTTTTACGCGGCTGGCTGCTTAACTTGCTTCGTGCCGGGGACGTGCTTTAACTTTCCTTGTTAGTGGGGTCCGCGTTTAAAGAAAGTCCTATTTTCCCCAGCGCTTGCCTCTGCCCGGTTCACCACCTTTCGCAACGGTCCCAACGCTATCCGGCTGTTGTATAGCCCCTTGGGTGGCGAGGCGTGGAACGCTAGTTCCCTGTCCGCCGCCTGTGCGCTCAATTTGCTTTCCCTTGTGCTACGTGGATCGTCCGTTTTGCCTTCTGCTACTTTCATAGTTCATTGGGCCAGCCACCCCCTCCCTTGTGTTTCTTCCCACTTCGGGTGCCTTTTTTTCCGATCGGCTGCCTCACACCCGCTCTGCTCTTTCTTTTTCTTTGTAGGAATTTTGGTTTACAGTTTAAAATCCTTTGGCTCCCTGTCCGGGTTCCTTTGTCCATTTGGTAAAGGGGGTTCTTACTTTGATCTGAGTGCAGCAGTGTGTTTGTCGCTCTATACCTGGTGTGGGGAGAGTTTGGGGAACCAGTGTCCGGGACCTCTTATTGGAATAGGCTGTGTGTGTGTGTCGGTGTGTTTGTGATTGGGGCTCAGCGAGCACGTGCTGGAAACCGCGACTACTGGTGTGTTGGCTAGTGTGCTTCTTTAAAGTGCGTGATTTTCCGGGACAAGCCTGCGGGGCTCTGCTTCTACAGGGACAGCCTGCTTCTGGTCAGGCTGCCATTGCCTCCTGGAACCCTTTTTTAATAGTAGATCAGTTCAACACCCCCTCTCACGTGCTCAGCCATCCGCTTCATTTTGCTTCTGGTCAGGCTGCCATTGCCTCCTGGAGCCTTCTTAATAGTAAATTAGTTCGACACCCCCGCTCACGTGCTCCCCTCTCCTGGCTTCATAGATACTTATTCTACTCTTAGGTTTCTCCCCCCCAATTCTTCTGAGTCTTTTCACCCCTCCCTCAGACTAGAGTAAAAGGTTTTTCTAGAGAGCAAGTTACGGTAATTCTTTGAGTTGCCATAGTAACGCTTCTTGGTGGGGGCTAGCTAACGAGCGATACTTAACACATTGTTATTCAGCTTTCCAGCAGCTGTATTTGCCAGTGATTCCCTCAGGACCTGGCTGATTGCCGGCTTATTGTGGCATTGTTTGCTCGATTGTGGGGTCATTTGCATTTTCCTGGCCTTTTCATTCTTTCATCGAGGTCACGAGGGGGGGGCATCGCTAAAAGCTGCGCTGCCTGCTAGGTAGGGGGGAACAATAAAGAAGGGAGGTACTACTTGGTGTTAGACTTGGTCATCTCTGTTTAATTGCGGGTAGTGTCAGTGGATAATATAACTAACACAGTGCGTGATTAGCAGCAGTGCCCCCTGGAGGCGGCCGCCTTTATATTATCCTGGTTTTGATTGCTCACGTTTTAAAAGGAGTTTGTCGGCTGGTTTTTCATTTATTGATTATCAATTAGTTTGTGTGGTGAGCATCAACATCTATTAATTGGGTAGTGAATCCTTCATTTAATTAATTTTTGGTAAACCAATCAGGTCCAATAGGGATAATATTTCATAATTGAGGAAGTGAACTAATAGTCTGTAATCGCTTGATCCTAGTTGTGGGATAGTATATAGTTAAATACTATATAAGTATAATTAAATAAATATAGAAGTATAAATTTAATTAATTAGACATAAGTAATATTAGAATAACAACAATAATACATAATACATAAATATCAATAATATAACAATAATAATAATAATATAAATATAATAATAATAAAATAAATAGATAATTAAATAAATAAATAAAATAAAATAAAATAAAATAAAATAAATAAATAAATAAATAAATATATAAAAAATAAAAAATAAAATAAAATAAAATAAAATAAAATAAAATAAATTAATAATAATAATAATAATAATAATAAATTAATAAATAATACAAAAAAAATTATTATTAAAATAATATAGTTTTAAAAAAAAAAGAACAAACAAACAAACATACAATAGTAGACTAAATCAAACAAAAAAAAAATAAAAATTAAAATTAAGTAAATCGATCAATAGCTATAAACGTGTACTGATTATTTGACTATAACCCGTCATTAGAAGTTTTATCTCAGTACACCGGGCACACCAATGGCGCCCAAGAGAAAGTGCTCATCCGAATCGACTCGCAATAGGAATGCAATCCCACGCAGCGCGGCTAGCACATCGCGCGGGAACCCAGGAAAGAATAATAACCAGAAACCTATTGCGCATTTCCTTAAGGCATTTAGGTCTTTCATAGACGATTACGAACAAAGCTTCCCAGAACAACCCAGCAGCCCTCCCTCTTCTCCCGACGCCATCCCGGATACGCAGGTGGTTCCAGAGAGTCCACGGTCCTCCCATTACGATGAGCTTCCTAGCACCTCAGCCGCTCTATTCAGCGATGCCCAACTGTCAAGGGCGGGATCATACAGTAGATCGGAGCCGGTTCGGACTAGGTCCCAATCTAAATCTTCATCTGCGTCTCGTGCGAGGGGGAAGGTGACAGCTAAGTCGACGCGTGTTAATAACCCTGTTGCCCCCAGTTCTTCCAATCGCTCACAGGAAAAGCGGCCCAGGGCGCAATTACCGGAATCAGCTTCTTCTTCCGCAGCCGAGGATGAGCAGCAGGAACAAGGGGAGGCCCTCAGTACGCCTTCAGAAGACAAGCCATCAGGGAAGAGGCGTGAGAAGAAGAAGCACATCTGCAGGAAAAGCAAGTCAAGGAGGGACGACACCGACGAGGAGACAGGTAGTTCTTCTTCCGAGTATGATAGTGATGCGTCCTTAGGGTCTTACTGGGGTAAGGGAGAGGAAGTTTCCGGACTTCCCGACTGGGCTCTCTCTAGGAGGGCCAACAGCCATCGAAAGAAGTTCGGGGGGACTCAGGAGTGGAAGGACGGAGCTCTGGTAAAGGCTTCTACAATTTCCACTTACTCAACGTCCGATGTTATACCCGGTGACCATCTCTCCCCCAAATTGCGTGCAAAAATTTTGAATGGTGAGTTTGTCGATATGTTCAAGCTAGTTCCCCCAACAGAGGAGTTAGGTAGGGGCGAAAAGAGGCCTTCCCACGGAAAACGGAAAAGCAGGTACCCTTCCGTGCCTCGGACATTCGAGAACTGGCTAGACGGGTTTCAGGCCTTTATGGGGACAATAGTTGCAGCCTATCCTAAACGGGCTGTTCACTTGGTTGCTTACCTTTCTCACATTCGAACGGCTTGCGCCCTCTCGGGGGAAGCCGCCGCCATAAATTATGACAAGAAGTTTCGTAGAAAGGCCTCCAGGATCCCACTTGCACGCTGGGACCAGATCGAAAATGGCATCTGGTCAGTAGCGGTCGGCCCGTACGTGGAGAGAAAGCAGGCAGATTCATTCCGTTCCGCCAGGGCCGACCCTAGGAAGGAATTCAGGCGCAGGGTTTGTTGGGAGTACAATAAGGGGTCTTGCCAAAGGCCTTCATGTAAATACCCGCACGAATGCGAGAGATGCGCTGGGGCTCACCCGGTTGCAACCTGCTTCAAAGGGGGAAAACAGCCCTTTCGCGGGGGCCGGGGGTTCCATAACTCCAGTTCCAGGGGAGCCCCCGCGGCAGGGAACAGAAGATAACATTGTTTTGGACATGGCCTTTTCCCCTGTCAAGATTGCCCCTCTTTGCTACCTCCTGTCCTTTTATCCAGACACAAATGCAGCGGCTTACCTTCGAGAGGGGTTTTCCAACGGTTTTCGCATCCCAACATCGGGTTCTTTAATAGCAAAAGATTCCCCCAACCAAAAGTCCGTCAGGGAAAGACCGGAAGTCGCCGAGAGAAAGATAACCAAAGAAGTGAGCGCAGGCAGGGTAGCGGGTCCATTCGATTACCCCCCCATTCCTAATTTGCACGTATCACCATTGGGAATCGTTCCAAAAAAGACCCCTGGGGAATTCAGGCTTATCCACAACCTCTCGTACCCAAAAGGGGGCTCTGTAAACGATGCCATCCCTCCTGAGCTGTGCACAGTGAAATACGCCACCTTTGATCAGGCAGTTAAGTTAATCAGGAGTTTTGGTCCCGGAGCGCTTTTGGCGAAGTGTGACATAGAATCGGCCTTCCGCCTTCTGCCTGTGCACCCTGACGATTTCCGGTTGCTGGGGTTTAAATTCCAGGGAAAATATTACGTGGATAAGGCTATGCCAATGGGCTGTTCAGTAGCTTGTTCGGCGTTCGAAACTTTTAGCACATTTTTGGAGTGGGCCTTGCGTTTTAGGACCAAGTCTGTTGGGGTTACGCACTATCTCGATGACTTTCTTTTCGTGGGTAGGTCCAACAGTGGGGAATGCGCCTTCTTGCTTGGGGCATTCTCGGCTCTAGCCCAAGAGCTGGGGGTACCCCTGGCAGCTGATAAAACAGAGGGTCCGGCTACTCGGCTCACCTACTTGGGCATCGAGTTGGACACAAACGCGCAATCTTCCCGCTTACCGGTGGAAAAATCGACTCCCTTTCGGAAGTAATCCGAAATACCCTTACGCTACGGAAGATTACTCTTAGGCAAATCCAATCCCTCTTGGGTCATTTCAATTTCGCGTGCAGGGTGGTCTCCCCTGGACGCCCCTTCTGTGCCCGCTTGGCCAGGCTCTCAATGGGACTCAAACACCCACACCACAGGGTCCGATTACCCAAGTCAGTCAAAGCCGATCTAGAGGTCTGGTTAACATTTCTCGACCGTTACAATGGGGTGTCTCTTTGGCAGGATGTTCTCAATTTATCCTCCGATTTCCAGGTCCAGTCGGACGCTGCGGGATCCCTGGGCTTTGGCGTGTACTTCAGGGGTCGTTGGTGCGCGCAACGATGGCCACCCGGGTGGCAGGGTGAGGCCATCACGCGGGATCTCACTTTTCTCGAGTTCTTCCCTATAGTAGTTGCTGTACATATCTGGACAGACGAGTTTCAAAATCGCCGGGTGTGCTTCAGGACCGACAACCAGGCGGTGGTGAACATCCTGGCGAAGCAATCATCGCGATCGGCGAGGGTTTCCTCCCTGCTTCGGGCTTTCGTCCTTCGGTGCCTTGAGTACAATATAATTTTTCAGCCAAGTTTATACAGGGGATTAAGAATGATATAGCCGATGCTTTGTCTCGCTTTCAGATGTCTCGCTTCCGTTCGCTGGCACCTGGTGCACAACTGTTGCCCGAACCCTTTCCGGAGCACCTGTGGAGCATTGGAGACGCAAAGTGATTCAGGGAGTATTGGCGTCTGTCGCACCTTCCACCATCAGGTCTTACAAGAAGGCCTGGTGCGATTTCCTGGACTTCAGGTCCCGGGTGTCTGGCTTCTCACCCGACATGCCACCCACCACCGAGGATGTCTTGCGATACCTTTCCCATCTAGACGATTTGGGTCGAGCACCCAAAACCCTGAAGATACATGTGGCCGCCATTAGTTTCTTTTCAAAAGCCACTTTTGCCTTCGATCCGTGCTCCGATTTCCTGGTCCGCAGAGCTATAGAGGGTTGGGGCAGGTTGCAACCCCTAGGGGCAAGGGCCGTAAGCCTATCTCTTACGGGTTGCTTTCCCAGATACGAGCAAAACTTAGGTCTATGTGTTGGAGCAGGTTCGAGGCCCGCCTTTTCTCTGCCGCTTATGCTATCGCCTTCTTTGGCGCCCTAAGAGTCGGTGAAGTAGTGGACCGAGGTTAGTGCGAGCGGTTCCACGCGCGGCCTTTTGGTAGATGACATACAACTGTCCGAATCTAGCATGACGTTGCGTATACGTCAATCCAAGACAGACCAGGCCGGGAGAGGGGCGTTAATTAAACTTACAGCATCTGCGCAGCAGGGTCCATGCCCAGTCAAGGATACCAGGCGGTACCTCCAACTCAGACCTCCCGGCCCAGGTCCCCTTCTGATCCACGAGGATAGGTCTCCCTTATTGAGACATCAATTCACAAGGGTACTTCGCAAAGCTATTGATGCTTGTGGTTTACCTGCACAGGATTATGCTGCTCATTCTTTCAGGATTGGCGCCGCAACGACAGCTGCGCGGTTGGGTCTGCCTGCCGATAGGATTAAGGAAATGGGGCGGTGGAGGTCCAACGCTTATAAAGGTTATATCCGCTAGACTGCGCTCTACCGCATGACCCTACTTACCTCGTCTTTTCTTCTTTTATTCTCAGCTGTTTTCAGGAGGAGTGTGTGGATTTGCGGCCACAGTATAGTCCATTGGGCTCGCGTCCGGGCGATCAGCTGCGGCCTTACATCTAACCTCGGTTTACCAACTGGTGTTCGTGTTTCCTGGTTCGCAAGGCGCGGCATGCGCTGGGAGGAGCTCCTCCCGTTGTTGAGAGCGAACGTAGCCACGGTCGGTTTTCCCGACATCCTTATCATTCAACTTGGGGAAAATGACCTTGTCGACAAGAGAAGTGCGGACTTGTCATGGCACATAAAAAGAGACTTGGTTGAGATTGCCTCCCTATGCCCCGGAACAACGGTGTTCTGGTCGTCCTTTTTGAAGAGGACCGTGTGGCGTGGAGCGCAGAGCTGTATGGCCGTTGAAAAGACCAGGAAACGTTTGAACCGGGTAGTGTCCCGATGGGTGCGCTTTATGTATGGCCAAATCATTTATCATGACCGCATTCGGATTGGCAATCCGATTTTGTTTCGGACTGATGGGGTCCATCTCTCTGACATGGGGAACGACATTTGGCTCGATAGCATCATCAATAGCATTAGGGATTGGTTGCAGCTGTGAGGGTATTGGCGGCGAGCCTCTTGGGCTCGGGTGGCGGTTAGGCATTGGAAAATTGTGATGTGGAACCGAAGAGCTAGGTGTGGCCATCGCCTATGCCTTCAATATTTTGGGTATTCCGTTAAAGGAATCTGGCGGTCGTGTATTCTGTCCGATGCCTGCTTGGCTGGAGGCCATGGCACGACCCTCGGTGACATCAGGGGAGAGCCTATAGTTGGATGATCATCAACAGGCTCCATCCTTCTGGTGAATAAACCCCCTTTGCTTTAAACATCCAATGCCTAAGCCAATACCTTTTCTCACTGCTGTAATCAATAAAGTTGTGGCCTTTTCTTGCCCATCAACCTTATATCTCGTGTCCTTGTCTACTTATTTCACATGCGGAGGTCGGGTCCTCGAACCACAAGGACTCTCCTCCCCTGAAGGGAGGGGAGTGGTTGTGGGCGGGAGCCTGGGCTCCGCCTCCCCTCATTCACCTGGCTGGCGCCCGCCCCCATCGGCTGGAACCCAACCAGGTGCCTCCGGGGGGGCGTGGCCAGCATCCTAAATGCTGCGGCGCCAGCCCTCTTCGGCCTCAGTCTTCTTCGTCCCTTCGCGAGTCACCCACCCTCCACTCCCTTTGAGCTCAGGGTCTTACTCTCTATCTGGCCTTGCTATGGACCTTAGGTTGGTCGCCCTGGTTGTCCGGGGGGCCTGGTAGGAATTTTTCCATTTGGCATTCGGCTTTGTGGTTTTTCGCCTACCTCGTAGCAATCGTCACAACTTTGTGGTATTGGTGGGTAGGTTAGGCATTGGAAAATTGTGATGTGGAACCGAAGAGCTAGGTGTGGCCATCGCCTATGCCTTCAATATTTTGGGTATTCCGTTAAAGGAATCTGGCGGTCGTGTATTCTGTCCGATGCCTGCTTGGCTGGAGGCCATGGCACGACCCTCGGTGACATCAGGGGAGCCTATAGTTGGATGATCATCAACAGGCTCCATCCTTCTGGTGAATAAACCCCCTTTGCTTTAAACATCCAATGCCTAAGCCAATACCTTTTCTCACTGCTGTAATCAATAAAGTTGTGGCCTTTTCTTGCCCATCAACCTTATATCTCGTGTCCTTGTCTACTTATTTCACATGCGGAGGTCGGGTCCTCGAACCACAACACAGAGAACTGTGACTGGCTTTGTAGTACTCAGGGCTTGCACATGCTACACCCCAGGCACTGACTTATGCTGTTGTTGTGGCGTGGGCCTAGCCCATTACTTCAGTGTTTTGTCATTGTCACTACTTCATGGTTCATTGTTTAGGGCAGAAGATTTGATTTATTGTTTGATATATATATATATATATATATATATATATATATATATATATTAAAAACTTTACCCACTTTTCACCATAAAGCTCCAGAGCTGGCTACAACAATATAATATACAATTATAAAAACAGATTAAACACACACACCCATGAGGTAAGGCAAGGCAACTGCCTCAGGCAACAGGATCCACAGAAGCAGCAGAGCCACCCTTCAAGAAATGCCTTGCTCGCTGCTGCTGCTGCTGCTGCTGCTGCTGCTGCTGCCATGGGAGCAGCGACGACTGCAGTGCATTGGCTGGAGGCCGGATCTGCTGCCTCCTCAGCAGCCCCCCCCCCCATTCTGTCTCTACAGAGGTCTCTTGGTGAATAGAAGGTGCTGCTGGTTTCCTCTCACCCGAGGGATAAAATATAAGGGGCTTCCCTCTGGGGTCTTCTGGGGTCTGCAACCACTTGGTGTGATTCCGAGAAGGCTCCGCTTCCCCCCATGATGGTCTTTGATTCCCACTTCAACCATCCAGTAAAGTTGATTTGATTCTCCTGCCCCTGGTGTAGATCTTCACTCACCTCTTCTTCTGTAACAGGGAGGGCGCATATTCTGGTTCACCTCAGGTACCAAATGTTTTGGGGCCGGCCCTGCACATATGTATGGTAAAACCATTCCTATCAGCACAGAACAGTTAAGCTTCATCAAAAGAGGTGTGTCCCACAAAACAAAATGCCTTAACTGCCAAAGGCCAGGGCAAAGATTACGTTGCCTCAGATAAAGCTTTCTCTTGGACCACCTGCCTTCACACTTCTAGAGAGTGGCAGAACTACTAAGAGAGCTCCCTGTGCTTAAAACGCATCCACACCAGGTTGGGAGTATGTCTGGCCACATGCATTCAGCCAACAACATACTAAAACAGTCCCATAGTTGACATGGAGGCCATGAAGTTCTGATGTAGTCCATAAGAAGCAGCCTTAGCATGGACCTTGAGGTTCTCCCAACACCATCATGAAGTGTCTCCCCAACACCCCATCTAACATTATCGCTACCAGTTCAAACAGGGAACAGTGGGGTAGATGGTGCACTGATAGCATCTCCAGTACTATGAGCAATTCCTCAGAGAAAGACATGTTGTGCATTGGTCTCTGGATGAGGAAGATGGAATTTTTATGGATTATTGCAACAACAGCAACAGCAAAAACCCATGCTCCACCTACGGACCTGAAATGGTGTTGTACCAAGTATTCCGGCAGCTGGCATTAGCAGATTTTGGGGTCTCAAGCAGCACCCTGTGTGATGCCAAAATTCGGCATTTCATGCTTCTTCATGCTACCTTTCATGCTTCATTCTAAAGCATAGTTGCAGCATCCCCTGCAGTGCTCCTGAGGCTCTGCACCCAGTGTTACTGAGCCAATCATGCTACCCTAAATCCGTTTGGCAGCTGGGTCAACATTAGGCCATCCAGCTCATCTGCTCAGGTCTTAGTTATGCACACCAGGTCGGCCCCTTCATCCACAATCATATTGTGCATGATAGCTGCTTTATTCTGGGCAGATGGTTAGTATCTTCTCACAGTCTTAAAAGTTTAGTCATACTGATTTTTTAAAATGCGGCTAAAATGCTATGTATGCTTACAGGGAAGCACAGCCTATTAAACTCAGAGGGAGTTCTGTGAGTAGACATGGATAGGATTGCTTTGTGTGTTGTAAGCTCATATATTGTGTGCAAATTCACACCTTAAAATCAAGGTTAATCATATACATGCATACATACTCACCCAGCCCTCACAAGATGACACAACACAGAGATAACTGTAACTTGATAGTGATGATGAAACTACAGTCCTATCTCTTCCCCTCAAATGCACTGCAGTAACCTGAACACTATGGGGTTAAATTTCAGGACTCTTATTATCATGGCCCAGGGCAAGATTCCACCTCTAGACTTTTCTCTCTGGTTTCTGCCTTGTGTATTTCAACAATAAACAGCCAATTGCTTAGTCTGCAGTAAAGTGCGAATGTGTTTTGTATTATATGAAAAGATTTTTCTGTATAATAATGCAGCAAAATGTAAGTGAATATATATATATATATATATATATATATATATATATATATTAACCATCTCTCACAGAACGGCAAATATGTAAATCTTTCCAATTGTATAAACGACACTTGGAGCAGAAACCTGAAATTTTAAGATCCGAAACCTATGAATTAAAAGCGGGGAAGACAACCTGTTTCGTGAAAGGCCATACTAATTTATCACTCGGGGAGAGCCTTCCTCACTTGATGCCACCTGCCTCAGATAGCTAATACAAATGAGCAACTGAACATGTGATTAATGTGGGGAAACGTCACTGTTTTATAAAGTCCCCAGTTGTTAGCTCACATTTGAAGCCATGAGTGCAGAGAATCTCACCACATTTGGTTAATGCAGACAACTGACCAAAGCCAGAGAGAAGAGTTTGCCATTTGAGCTCTGGGAAGGGCTGTAGCTGAGTGGTAGGGCTGCTGATTTGCATACAGAAGATCCTAGGTTCAATCCCTGGCATCTCCAAGTTGATTTGGTACAAGGCAGCTTCCTATGTGATGAGGATCTTGTGGGAAGAGAGGGTGAGGTCATGCATGCTGCTTCTTCCCTCACCATCACATCTCTGATGGCCTCACCACCAGGCTCCTGCTCATGATGGCTGTGTCCTTCCTTCACGGCCTGAGGTCGCATGCCTTTGAATACCAGTTGTTGAGAATCACAAGTCAGGAGAGTTCTGTCATGCTTGTCAGGCCTGATCCAGAAGACCCTTTCGGATGTTGGGGGCATGTCTGCAAAGAAATCCACTAAACCCCAATGAAAGTGAAGCAAGGGGAGAGAGTAAAGCAATTCACTTCTAAAATCTTCCCAACATGGTAACAAATTCTGGTTCAACATAATAATGCTTCATTAGATGATACGGCAACTAATATAAGGACAGTATAATTCCAGACAAAATGGAATTTGGACACCATAAGTTCCAGTGTAAATGTGTTGGCTTTATGTGTCTCAAAAGCAGCCATATAGGACATGCACACACAAAAATGTGCTATGAATCAAGGGCAGCAGTAACAACTAAGATCAGTCTAGACCTCACACTGGCATGTGAATGTGAATGAGCAATGTCAGAAAGCTCCCTTTTCCCTATTTTCCCTTTATGAATATGCACCAAAATCTGTCCCTTTTATGTGTGAAAGCTTAGCCAAGCCCTAGCTGTGATTGTGAACAAAACAATTTATCAGATCCCTGCAGCTGTCATTCTTTAGTGACCCGAGAGAGACAGAATACTCCAGAGGGGCGAAGTTAGGCTGAGATATGGCTGATCGGATGAGTCAGCTCAGTGGGTGAGAGGGTATTTGAGATAGGACTGTATAACTCTCTGTGTAACAAGTGCATTTTAATATGAAACATCTAGAGGCCTGCTGACTGAATACAATGCAAGGAGTTCAGTAGGCTGTATGAATATTTCAGTGCACACACAATTTATATAAAATATACATTTTCTGTATACGAGGTGCATTTTCATCATATTTTTTAATTCTAATGCTAGGGTGTAAGCGTTTCAACGTGCTGGCTAAATATTTCATTGCATCATAAATATCCGATGTTTCTGTATATAATGGAGGACAGGTAACTAAATATTTGATTTTGTGCCAGCTGTAACAGCCTTGCACATGAAAAAGTGTTTTCATCATCATGACCCAATTACGAGCACACTGAAATCCTCAACGATAATTCAAGGAACCAGTGAACCACAGATATATCACTATAATTGATGGCCTTGACAGTATTTGCATCAAAATGCCCCCCCCCCCATTTTCCCTCCAGGTAATTTTATGACTCTTTAAAACCATTTCAGTCTAAACCTTTTCTTCGAGCCTGGAGAGATTGGGACATTTTTGAGCTGATTGGTCTGCTGGAGAATTGGTGGATTGTCACCCATGAGCTGGGTAAGAAAAGACCCATGAGCTGGGAAGGTCCACTTCATATCTCAGTTCATTCATGCAGCCACTGAATGAGATGGTGACTTTGTGGTGCCTGTTAGCTCTGTAACACAGGCGTAACAATGCTGACCTATTTTGCAAGAAAGAATTGCTCTCTTACTGTAGGTCAAGGATGGGATGAGAGTGCTTAAGGAGGATCTTACAGCTCTCTAAGAGTTGAGCCTCTCTTAGCAACTGTTTGTACATCATTCATTAGAAATGCCTCTTCTACACTTGGACCACCATTCCTCACTTACAATTTAGGATGCTGCAATAGCTTGCAAGATGTGCAAACTGTATCCAAATTGTCACTTCAATTTTGTGGAGCTGAAATCATCCATCATTAAATTTCTAGGGAGCACAAGGTTCCATTCCCTTCTTTTTTTTTTTTTAATGATATTTATTAAAATTTCAAAAGATACAAAAATTACACAAAAACAAAAAGTAAAAAGTAAGAATACAAAAAGTAAAAATACAAGAGAATAGAAAATACAGAAAAAAGAATAAAAACAAAACAAAACAAGTTCATTATTTTCAGACCCTTAACTGTCATTGCCTTCTTTCTTAGACCTCCTCCTCCTCCCTTCCTTTGTATTCTAGTTATTAATTATCCCAGCAAATCCTTTCCTTTCCATGTTTCATAAAATTCTATCATTACATTACCCTTGACTAATTTAATCCTATCTTTCTATAATAAAGTAAACCTTAAAGTTTAAAACTTAAGTCTTAACCTTACCAACTTCTTATAATCATAGTATTCTTTCATAATTCTTTATGCATCTTTACTAAAGCCAGGTAATTTCTTCCAACATTTTTCTATCATTCCTCAACTTTGTAAAAGAAAGAGAGGGGGAAAAAAAAAGATATAAACAAGTCCAATCTTTATCCAACGTCCCTTCCTCCTGGTTCCGGGATTTGTCAGTCCTTATTCCCATCAGTCTAACCCGGTGACCTTATGTCCGAGGCCCTCAGGTCACTTCCATGGCCCTTCCGCAGCTCTTCTTCATATTTATAACTGTAATGTCCTTTATCTCCTCGTGATAACTCCAGCTTGACAATGTCTCTTGCTCGTGGTAACTCCAACTTAATAATGTTTTTATCCCTTCTCATCAGATCAGACCCTTTTCCGTATTTATCGCTGCATTCCATGTAGTATTTAAAAGCATGTTTCAAGGGCCCTCCAAAGTTGAGAGCCCCCACAGTCCCAAACATATCGCAGCCCATTTCCATATTTAAAAAGTCCAGACATCCCAGCATAGGGGGGTCAATCCAGCCCCCCATTTCCAAGCCACACCGAACTTTTTCTTTCCAGATCTGGCTTTTTCCAAATTCATTTGTCCAGTCCGAAGGGTCATACTCCTGTTGGGTCTGTTCTGTCAAAACACACTCCTGATTTAATGCCACAAACTCCTGTTCTGTCAAAACACACTCCTGGTTTGGATCCTGAGTGGGCTCCACATGTTTTCCCACAGTCTGGTCAAAACATTCCACTGCCTGTTTAAGATTTCTAGTCGAAGTGGCCATCCAGTTCACCTTATCATGTAATTCTTCCAGTAGAGCATTTGTTTTGTAAAAAGCGCAGACCAAGGCTTCTGAAAACATTGTCCTGCACAATCAAATACTTTCCCACGGTTATTTTGTAACAGCTGTCAATTCCCTGGAGTTAGTTACAGTTTCGCAAGCTCCCCCTAGGGGGAAGACTTATGTTTATTTTTGCTACAAAGTTTCCTTTTTTTCTTTTTTCCAAAATACTTAAGATACTTTGTCCATATTTATTCCTTTAAAATGCGAAAGGGAACAGTGGAATCACAAAGTTTCTCTTCTTTTAGCTGTCTGTCAAAAAACAATTATCTTGGTAAACTCACGTCAGTCCTGACACCCCGCTCCAGGATCAGGACAGAGGAAAATAACTTCCTTTTGCAGATACTTCAAATAGTCCAAAAAAGAGATTCCCAATTTAAAATGTTGAAATCCACTCTTTTAGAAACGAATTTCTGAGCTCTAGTGTAAATTGCCTTTGCTTTATTCTATTTACAAAAGAACGGAAGGGTGACTTCCTGTTTAGCCCTTTCCACTCCGAACCAGATTCGATAGATTTTTTTTTTTTATAGTCCGATTCTGTCCTTCTCACAAATCTTTATTTGATGTCCCATTTGTTCAAATTCTAAGTACTCACGGGTGCTTGTTTTAAAGTCCGAATTGTCCCAGGAAAGAAGGCAGCGCTCTCCGGCAGCAGCTATGTGGCTTCGCTCCACGGAAATAGCGATTGACTCACAGCACCGCACTGCTACCCCCTCCTCACTTCGGAGCCTGTTAATGGGTTCCTTAGCGGATTGGGGGGGCGCTAAAGGTGCCCGCCGAGTCCCACGGTCACAGGCTTCATCCGCCTGTGATTTTGAAGGGGTCCCCGCTTCGCCGAAGCGGAGTAGACCCTGTTTACCGCGGAGCCAGTCCCTCCAGTTCAGAGGGAGTCCGCCATTGCCGGTGGTGCCACCCCGGAAGTCGGGTTCCATTCCCTTCTTGAAGGGATGGGGAACCTGCTGTGGCCCTCCTGATATATATTGTTGGACTCCAAGTCCCATCAGCTCTAGCCAGAATGGCCTGCTATCAGGGATGATGGGAATTGTAGTGCAGCAACTTCAGGAGGACCACAGGTTCCCCCATCCCTGCTTATCCCCCCCGACTTGCAGTTGCAGTCAGTGGGACAGGATGGTGGTGCTCACCTGAGAGGGGTGAGCTGAGAACAAGCTTTGTGCGGTGCGAATGCACTGGCAGGACCAATCTAGGGCTCCCTTCAGTGTGTCTGAACTGGGCTGACCTTACCACAGTCTTGCTCCTCCCACTCTACCTCCTAGTAAGCAGCAACAGTGCAGGCGATGGGAGATCAAGTGAGTGCTGCTGCCGAACCCCACCAAACACCTACTGGTGGTTTGCTCTGTCCTGCCCTCCACGCTTTCTGCATTTTGGCTGACCTGGGAAGATTTCAAAAATTAATTCTGGAACTCAAGCAGAATATAGTAGCACAGGTGCCATAAAGGAACTGAATATTCCAGCAAATGTGACTGTGTGGTATTCTGTACACAATTTTTCAAAGGGGAGCAAAATGGAATTACAGAAAATGTCTCATTCCTTAAGCACCGGCTCCCCTTTGGAAGATAATTTAATTGGGAGAGCTGAAATTGTGGGAGAAATTCACTGGAGCCAAATAGTGGAAGCAAGTGTCCCTATTTTCCAGGGACATCCCTGATTTAGAGAAGCTATCACAGTTTCTGATTTGATCCCAGAATGTCCTGCTTTTCCTTAGAGTGTCCCTATTTTCATTGGATAAATGTTGGAGGGTAGGAGTTATTTGTGTTGGTTTCTGCTTTCCTTCACTGTGCAGCTCTGCTTGTCACGAGACAGGTGTTTACATTCCACAGTCTGTACTGTTGGAGTTTCTCACGGGAAAGGGAGACTGGATGTGACGTACACTGGTTTCCTGTTTTTCACTGTGTGATTCTCTCCGAGCTGTCGAGGAGAGAGGATGCATTTTCTGCTCCGGCAGAGGCAAGATGTCTTTCTGTAATATACCTGCTTTGAACTGTAAATAAAGCAATATAGAGTATGCAGCACGTATTTCTCATCCTTCCGCTGGGCACAAGACTCTGCTTAAATCAACACGTGGTTATGGACTCCAGAAGTCGAATCGGAGTGCCGGCAAAGGATCGGAATGCAGAGGAACAGATCGGAACGGAATCTGCTCTGCGCGTAGAAGTGATTGATGAGGTATGTGCTACTGCTCCGGGCAGCCTGCCAGCTTCAAGTTAATGGCTTTATGGCTGGACTTTGAACTTTTAAAGCCGGTTTTGCCGGGAATAGGCAAAAGGCTCCCAGGCACAAGTCACTATGCTGGGGAAATCGAAAGTAACTTTTAAGTGCGCTTTGTAATAAGGCAGCTGCAGCAGTGACGCAGCAAGATTTAAAGCAGCATATATATGACGCTGAAGGCTAATGCCAGAGTCATGATGGCCCTTCAGGATGCTTGTGGGATTCCTAAGCTCAACAAGAAAAATTACAGCGACTGGGTTCAGTATGCAGAGGCAATTCTGCGGAAAGAGGGTTTGTTTGAGGTGATTACAGAAACCCCCCCAGTTCCAGTTACAGATGCATGGGAAGCTAAGGATTCCAAAGCAAGGGGAACTCTTACATTGATAGTATCCCCAGAAGAGCTCTGTCTATTGCGTGATAAGACCTCAGCCAGAGAAATTTGGGACGCTTTGAGAGAGGCTCACTTAAGGACAGAAGCTGGATCCACTATGTTTTACTTTAACAAGCTGCACAATATGGCTCTTGCTGAAGGTGGAGATGTGCGTTTACATCTGATGGAGATGCAAAATCTGAGACATGAGCTGCAACAGAGAGGACTCAACTTTCCAGAGGCTGTGTATTCTTTCATGATACTACAATCTTTGGGTTCAGGTTGGGAGTCTGTTGCAACCCAGATTGCTGTGCAACCAACTGCTCAGCTGACAGTGGACTTTGTTACTGCCGTGATTTTAAATGAAGCAGATCGCCGGGTGCTAGCTGCATGGGCAAGGGGGAGTCTTCACAGACGTCATCCCATAGTGCAGTGGAACCACCAGATGGCGCCAAAGCTTTGAAGGCAGTGAAATGCTACTCGTGTGGACGTCTAGGCCATATGAAGAGGGAATGCAGACATCCCAGGGCCAAGACAGAGCAGCGCAGCGAAAGCTCATCGCGCGGAAAAGGCCGAGGCAAAGGCAAAGGTCCGGTGTCTAGGACAACGCAGCACAAGGCTATGGTTTCACGCTTCACTCCAAAGGTTGCAGAGGTCCAGAAGACGTCTAGATCTTTCTTCGTTATTGATTCAGCGGCCACCCACCACATGTGCAACGATAAGAAACTGTTTGTGTCTTTTACACCGCAGGAAGGTGCGATTCACCAGGCGGATGACCACACTATTCCCAGTAAAGGCTACGGAACTGTTGTTCTTCACAGTTTGGACTTATCGATACGGAATGTGCTTTACGTGCCAGACGCCAAACATAATCTGCTCAGCGTTGGACAGCTGAATGAGCGGAACATTGACGTTTCCTTCAAGAACAAGAAGTGCATCATCACAAAGAAAAATGATTATGTATTGCATGCAGAATATGTTGATCGTTTGTTTGTTTTGTATTATGATGATGTGGTGCAGGATGACACTTGTTGCATTGCAGGTTCTAACAAAAGTTTGCATGCAGAATGTATTCACGATTTTCATCGAAAATTTGGTCATTTGCATTTTGAGGCAGTATCTAAAATGCCTGCCTTGGTTGAAGGTATGACTATTAAACCCTGCAGGTACCACATGAAGTGCAAAGCATGCGCAGCAAACAAGGTGAAAATGGCTGCGAAAGGTAAGGTGTCTAGTAGGAAAGCTACAGAACCATACCAGGTTGTTCATGCTGATTTGGTTGGACCACTAGCGCCCTCTTTGGGTGGAAATAGATACTTCATGGTTCTCATTGATGCATTTTCTAGATATATTTTTGTGTACAATCTCAAGCAGAAATCGGAGGCTTTTCCTAGGTTCAAGGAATTCTGTGCTTGGTTGGAAAATGTGCATGGTAAGAAGATAAAGACTCTTTTCAGTGATCGCTGGGGAATTCACTTCTCAGCAGTTTGAAGCTTTTCTGACTGAGAAAGGAATTCAACACGATTTGTCTAGTCCTCGCTCGCCATGGCAGAATGGACTTGCGGAACGGGCAAATCAGACATTGCTTCAAGGGTTAAAAACCTTGCTGCATGATGCCAATCTTCCAGAGAGTTATTGGGCCGAATCTCTCTCGTGTTTTGTTTACAGTTACAATCGCAGGTTATCTTCAGCGAGTGCGTGTACCCCCTAGGAGAAGATGTTTGGCAAGAAGCCATACATCAAACACATGAAGATTTTTGGTTCTGACATGTGGGTTCGCTCACCACAAAACTCCAAGTTAGACAAGCGTGGATTGCATGGTATCTTTCTAGGTTATCAGAAAGGGTCTTACAGAATAATGATGACTGACTCTAAGACAATTAAGCTCACGAGAAGTGTTGAGTACAATGCAAAGTGGGGGAGAATGTGGGAATTTTCCAATGTTATCCTGATGACGGTGATGAGACTGAGGATAGTCAAAAGCAACCACAACAACCCACACCCACTGATGAAGGTTCTGAGTCTGAATCTGAAACTGAATCGGGTGATTCAGAGGATTTCGAGAGTGCGAAAGCCTCTATGCGACCCTCTGAAAGCTCTGATCAAGAATTGGAGGAACCATTGTTCACAATAGGTCGTTTTTCTCCTAAGAAGGAAGAGGAGAGTGTTGAAGACTTAAGGCTAATTCGTAGGTCACAGAGAGCTACAAAAGGCAAACCTCCAAAGAGATTTGCTGATGAGTTTGCTACGATAGCAGTAACAGCTGTTAAAAGCTCCAAGAAGGTATTTGAACCTTCAAGTTTCCAAGAAATCCAGGGTTTGGATTCAAAGGAAGCTGAGCCATGGTTAAATGCCATGAAGGCTGAGCTTGATTCCTTAGAAAGGAACAAAACATGGGAGCTAGTTCCAGTAGTTCCAGGAATGAAACTGCTTGGAAGCAAATGGGTCTTCAAAGCGAAGACAGATCAAAATGGCAAGATAGTCAGACACAAAGCCAGATTGGTAGCCAGAGGTTTTGCACAGGTACCAGGTGAAGACTATCACGAGACCTATTCACCCACAGTGAGATATGAAAGCATTAGGCTTATGCTCAAGCTAGCTGCAGAGGAAAATCTACACATTAGTCACCATGATATTAATACAGCTTTTCTGTACGGATCTCTAGATGAATCACTTTATATGCTTCCACCTGATGGCGTACAGGTAAAACAGGGATTTGTTTGTGCTCTGAAGAAATCCCTTTATGGTCTCAAACAAAGTGCACGGTGTTGGCACACAAAACTCACTGAAGTATTGTTTTCTCTAGGTTTTCAGCAAGGGAAAGCTGATCCATGTGTATTTGTCAAAGAGGAGGGGCAAAAGAAACTGTACTGTTTGTTTTATGTTGATGATTTATTATTCTTTTGGAAAGATGTTGCAATGTACAATAGCGCCCTAGCTCAACTGAAAGAGCACTTTGACATGAAAGATCTTGGTGAGGTAAACAACTACCTATCTCTGGAAATAGAGAGAGATCAAGATGGTAACATTCTAGTACACCAGTCACGGAAAATTGCTGATGTGTTAAGCAAACTAAATCTGATGGATGCTAACCCTGTAGACACACCGATGACAACAGGTTATCAGGTAGATGACACTGAAGAAGCATTTTCTGACACTACACTGTACAGGAGTGTGCTAGGCAAGCTAAACTTCATTGCCAGATGTTCAAGACCAGACATTGCTGTTAGCTGTAATTTGCTAAGCAGACAAGTCAACAATCCTAGTGTCAAGGATTGAAAGTTCTGAAACGCATAGCGCGGTATTTGAAAGGCACTATGCATTACAGACTGAGATTTAACAATCAGAAGTCTGGTGGTCTTGAGATATTTGCAGATGCAAGTTTTGGAAGTGACGCTACAGACAGGAAAAGTACGTCTGGAGTTTGCTATATGTACAATCAGAGTCTGTTTGATTGGTCATGCAAGAAGCAAACAACAGTTAGCTTAAGTACTTGTGAAGCCGAACTGAATGCACTGTCTTATTCACTTAAGGATTGTGAATGGTTAGTACAATTGTGCAAAGATATGAAAATTCCTGTCAAATGTCCAATCCAGGTTTACCAGGACAACAAAGCATGTTTGGCTTTGCTGAAGTCTGAAGGTTGTAAGCAAAGCACAAAGCACTTGCAATTAAAGTTGCAGCATGCTAGGGAATGTATTCAGAAGGGACTCGTAACGGTGTCCTATATGCCAGGTAATGAAATTCCTGCTGATGTATTGTCCAAGATTGTATCAAGGGATCAACACTGTACCTATGTGCAGAAGTTGGGTTTGTACTGATATTGTGCAAACACGCTGCCCAGTGATGTTCACAGAAAGGGGGAGGATGTTGGTTTCTGCTTTCCTTCACTGTGCAGCTCTGCTTGTCACGAGACAGGTGTTTACATTCCACAGTCTGTACTGTTGGAGTTTCTCACGGGAAAGGGAGACTGGATGTGACGTACACTGGTTTCCTGTTTTTCACTGTGTGATTCTCTCCGAGCTGTCGAGGAGAGAGGATGCATTTTCTGCTCCGGCAGAGGCAAGATGTCTTTCTGTAATATACCAGCTTTGAACTGTAAATAAAGCAATATAGAGTATGCAGCACGTATTCCTCATCCTTCCGCTGGGCCCAAGACTCTGCTTAAATCAACAC